CCGCAGGAATGGGATCGCGTCGGGTGGGAGGTCAAGTGCCGTCGATGGCCTATGTTGTGGACTGGAAAATGCAGTGAGGCAGGCGGGCGATGAGAATATGCGAGAGTCGTCGAATGGTTCTGGAGATGGTGTTCTCGACTCTCTTCGCTCGCTCAGGCTATCCCCCGGTTTCCTTGTCTTTGCGTCGTTAGCGACGAGTTCCACCGCGTCCGCGATGACACGCTCGTTGAACCATTCTTGAAGCTTGGTGCTGAACAGCTCGGTACCATAGCTTTCTGCTTGCCCTCGGGCATTGACAAATAGGATGGCGAAGTGACTACGACTGATATACGCGGCCTGTTTTATATGTCGTCAGTTCGTATTCGGAAGGGCCAAAAGGAGGGATATAACCTTATCCAGGGCTTTTAACGCTTGGTCGCGTTTGGTTTTGAAATGTCGTTGCTGTCGTGCTGGGTGCTCGTATGGTTCGGTTCGCGCTGCGATTCGAGGCATCTCTGTGTGCTGGGATATAGGATACAGACGAAGGAAGACCCGTTGGCCAGAACGTTTGCGTCACCTGGACGCCGTTGTCCTTCGACTTGAACGACTTCTCGACGTTGCGGGTGTCGGGTGGTCAATGTACAGAATAGTGATGTAGAGGACGAAATGGAGAAGTGGGAGGAGAAGGGGAGGAAGCAAGAAAGGTTATCAGGCTTTCTTTGGTTAGCATCATCGTCGTTGGCGGAGGTAGCTGTGAGCTTGAGCAACTGATAGAAGGTTAAATGCGACTGACCCTTCTGAGGCACACGTCCATCTTGACTTGGTAAGGTTATGCGCAACGAGGAGAGCAAGCTTCCTTAAAATTTACTGTCGGCCGGGTGACGCAGTTGGTTAGCGTGTGGAGCTAATACGAAAAATCGTCTACTCCAAAGTCCTGGGTTCAAGCCCCAGTCGGGCCATACCTCTTTTTTCGTTTTCGTTTTCATTTTCGCTTTCGTTTCCGCTGGTGCCAGTCCGCCGGAGCGAGCCCAATGAGGGCAGTATACGTCGGGATTGCCTGTCCGTAGGGGGGTTTGGCCAAGACCATCCGTACCGGGTGGAGGGGTGGATTCTGGAGGGAGAGACGCGAATCGGACTTCGTGGGGCGGGTGGCTATATATGAGAATGACGGCGGTGATGGCGATGAGTACCCAGTTGTTTTACAGCTTCTACTGTCTCGATCAGATGGCTTGGCGGGTCAGACAACATCGCAAACGTCGGGACTCGAGGACTAGGCACGCGGGCCCATCACTTCAGACTGTTGCTTTTCCAACAACAAAGCACAGGAGTTGTGAAACAGGCTGATCAAAGAATAGGTGAGGTTAGGTACGATCTTGTAATGGCCGGGAGCATCATTTCCACTATGGAGGGGTGAGTGGTGGTTCAAAATCGTTGGGCCTTTCAAGTCCGGTAAGACCGACTCGACAGGATCTCCAACGAACCCTGCCAAACAACTTCACTTTTCATCACAATTCCGGCGCGACGATGCGACGATGAGCACTAACTTCACTCATTGCATGTATACTCGTGGCCCTAGGTGTGACTAACTTGTCCGTATGAGGTGCTGACGCCACAACCATTAGCATCACGTCCAATTCACCCATGTTCGTGGTTTAAGATTTGCCGGTGACGCCCAGGAACAGTAGAGCATTTATGCAAAGGTGATACAACTTTAATTTTTTTGTTCGATTATCAATGCTACAGAGACCTGACGAGCCATACCTAAGCCGGGGAGATCTGCCAGGACTGGTTCTCGCCTGTTA